TGGTTTGTTGAAATTGGTAGCTTTGTATTATTGTTTAACTGTACAAATCCACTTATTAGTTTATCATAATGAAAATCTTCATTATGAACTTCATCTGGAAAATTATAATTCTGAATAATTATGTCTCTTGACAAATAAGGAGGAGCTGATTCATCATCAGTAACATGAGTAGCTGTTGGAAATATTTCATTAATTGTCTTTTGTGTCAGAGTTAAAGCTTGTTTTGAAAAACTTTTTATATAGGGGTTTTTTTCTGCTAACCAATCTGCAGCATTCTTTAAATTTTCATCAAATATTAATTCATTAGAAACATGATTGTTATTAGAAGGTTCTAGAAATGCTCCAATTGTCCCAGTATATAATGATAATGCACGTATGTTGCAAGAATAACTCATAGTCCCAACTAAATTTCTATATTCTGTAAAAGAGTTACTGCCAGGGGTTCTTCCTAAAGAACAATGAATATATGCTGGTGAAAGATATTTTCGTTTATGTAAAGGAACTGATTCAATTTCAATTGGCATTGGAGAAATATAAGGAATCTTTTTACGTGTTCTTGGATTATGGCAAGATCTACATGTTGGAACTTTATTCACTTTTGTATTTGGGTGAAATTCTAAATGAAAATTTTCAAAAGTTTCTTCAACTGGATATTTTATTTCTTGATTATAAGGAACCCATTTTGCTTTTTCTGAGTATAATAACTTAGCACAATATACACATGTTACATTTGGATATTGTTTAAGAATTTTCTCTTGGAATTTTTTGAAAATCTTATTGAAACTAATTGTTAAAACCCAAGGTTTTATATGTATAAAGTTTATATTGTTTATTGTATAGACAGTGTTATTACTAACTAAATCATTTGTGTTTGTTTGATTAATTGTAGAATTTTGATTTTCAAAAAGATTTTGAATGTGTGAATTATTTATTGAAAACTCATTCATACATTCTTCTGGTATATTCACTTCAAATATATTGTATAAATGATGGTGATTCATCTTTAGAGATTTTTTTTAATTTTTTTTTCTTCAGAATTCAAGAAATGATGGATACTTATATCAATTTTTTTATAAAAAACCTTCATTTTATTTTTTTGTTTGTTAAATTAGCTCTTTTTTATATCTAAATTCGGTTATTTAATAAATTAAAAAAATTTACAATTAAAAAATTCTGCACGCGCACTTTAGCAAATTAAAAAAATTGACTTTTATGCTTTATTTTTAATAAATATATAAAATAAATATCTTGTGCGCGCATTTTAATAAATTATTAAAAAAATATATTAATAAAAATTTTGCATGCACATTTTAATATTTTTTCATTTAATAATTAATAAATATATAAAAATAAAAAATAAATATATATAAAAAATATGAATGTAAATTTAATAGAATTCATATTCATCATTTTTTTCATTTTTTTTTGATTGTCGTGTAATAATTTTTTTTGTATTATTAGATGTTTTATTGCTACCTTTTCTTTTATTATTTTTTTTTGGTCTACTTGTAGTAACAGCAGCAGCAGTAGCAGTAGCAGCATTATCATTGTCTTCATCTTCTTCATTGGTACTAACAACAACAATATCATTTTTATTATTATCATCTTCATTATTATTATCAAAATTTTCCTCATTATCAATATT